TCCATTTTTCCATATAATTGTAGAGAACGCAAGAAATCACCGGTATCCAAGAGGTTAATAATGGTAAACATTAGTATCAACAAACTACTTTGAAATATGCAAAAAAAAATAATGTAGAATCAAAAAAAAATTAGGTGATAAAATTTTTCGTCCTATAAATAATTATCAAGAATTATATGGAAAAAAAGATACTGTAAAGGAAAGTGCAAGCAGTGGTCTTGTTTGCAATAAAGGTAAGATAAATTTTTATTTATATCTGACTTGTTTTTTATTATTATTTTTTTCTACAGGTCGAATACGGGCACCAGCTCATCTTCATGCATCGGTTCGTGATAATAATCAACCTAAGATTCGTACGTTTTATAAGAGTAAAGGTTTGTGGCAATCGAAATTTCGTTTTATATATGATAATATAATTATTGCTTATTTTAGGTTATTGTGGTTTTGGCGATAGTTGTAAATTTTTACATGATAGTTCTGATAATAAATATGAATGGCAACATAAACAAGAATGGAATGTACAGTCTTTAGCATCTGAAATGAGATTTGACACAATTCAGCCAGATATTCCGATTGGGTGCATGTTTGATGGTCTCCATCCTTCAGCACGAGGTGTCGCAATGATGGAAAAAACAATTTCCAATTATTTAAAAACAAAAAAAATGTTATACTCTTCTTCGTTTTCACAACTTTCTTCTGTCTCTGAAATTATTGTTTCCTCTCCGGCTTTGATGTCGATTAATTTTTAAATATTCAATGCAGTCAATAGTTTAAATAAAATATCTTTCTCTAGTTTTTTTCTTATTTTGGATCTGCTATATCTACTGCAAATACAAGAGATATGAAGATACTCATGTTACATCTCAGATATTCCAATAACGATAAACATCGTTGACTATTATTCAACAATGAATATAGCTAAATATACTTCAGAATACTCACCTTCGAATATTATTTAAGAACAAATATCATTAAATATTTTTCAACAAGAATTATCATTGAATATTAGAAAAAAAATAAAACATCGTTATATATTCTTGAACAATCAATATCAGCCAATCTGATCGAATAAAAAATATCGTTAAACATTGGGGAATAATAAATTGAATTGAAAGTTCTTCAACAATATATATCATTGAGTATCATCTAATAATAAATATCAGTCGATGTAATTCAATAAAAAATATCATTAAACATTGTTGAATAATAAATTGAATTGAAAGTTGTTCAACAATATATAGCATTGAGTATCATCTAATAATAAATATCAGTCAATGTGATTGAATAAAACACATCGTTGATGATGATTTAGTGATAAATATAGTGGAATATCTTCAAAGAGTCACGAACATGAATTTACTCGTATGTGTTATTAATTTTCTATACATATAAAACCTTATCAATACGTAGAACAAGAAATAATCTATATAAATACACCACTCTCAAAGATCGAAAATCTGATATCGTAAGGGGGTCTATGAAATAAATGTGCGTTTCTATGCATAAATTTTGTCTCATTGGAAAATATGTCGTATTGAGCTATTGCTCGATGTCTTGTATCCAATGTGAACAAGAGGAAAGAAAAAAAAAACAATATTAAAGAAAAAAAACATTGACTAATAATGAGTATACAAAGGGGAAAAATAGAAATTGAGTATCATTCATCTTGCAACATACTTTATCATTCGTCGAATCAATTAATATATATTCTACAGGGAGTATAAATAGAGTAGAAGAACTCTTTTTATACTGAAAATGAAGCGTAAGACTTCGTTTGTCTCATCTGTAAAAAATAAATGTAATTCAGGTTCAATACATCACATCGAAGAAACTTCTTCAGATCATCAGTTATCAGAGGAGAAAGTAGAAAATATCATAACAGATCACTCGAGTCCAGAAAAGGTAAAAGAAAGACAAAATGTTTGGAATCATATTACTCAAGATCAATTTATATCTGCAGTTAGTGGGTTAGGTTCCGCTCAGAAACAACTTGATAAGGAGACGTGGCGTTTAAATGTATTTACTCGTTCTGAAAAATCTATTTGGCGTCGATTGATATCGAAATTGAAATTACATTACACAGAAAGGATACGCCATTCTTTGTATAATTTTTGGCGACGAAATCGTACAAAAATTGAAAGTACTATATCTGAAAATCGTCTTGACTGTGTTCAAGAGGATGCTAAAAATCAAATAAAGAAAATGAAGTTGACCTTTCTTCGCTGAACTCAGAGATTAAGCCCCTAGCGTCTGATGCGACTCTTCCAAAGCCAAAGACTCGATCGATAGTTCAAAATCAGTTGAATCTACCGACAATAGTTGAAGCATCATTCATTATGACTTATAAAGAGTGGAAGACTATTTATGATTGCTCTGAGCGTGACATGAGATTAGGATGTACGGATGTAATTAATCAGAAATTTCGCTCATACAACTTTCGCTGTACTTTAGTTGTTAAAAACCATTATATTGATGTTGAAAATTCACGTAAAAAGAATTCTTCCTTTTTTCGTTCTGTTGCCACATGTAAGAATAGTCAGTGCGACCGATTGTTTGAAATTTTTATCGAAGATGAACCCATAGCGAGAGAAAGTATTGTTTTTCGCATACGAGCTATTGGAGACGAAAATCATGATGGACCGCCAGTAGCGCGACACTTAACTGGAAAAAAAGAGATTTGAGGTTGGAAAAGCAGCGAATGCGGTTGGTCCTTTAAAAGTATTTCAAGAAAAAGTAGAAAATGCTGATGAAGAAATGTTATCCGCTCGTAATTTCACCGATTGCGAAACTGTAGACGTCATAAAACATGCAGCAGCAGATTATCGGAAAATATATCAACTTGACGAAGATATTTTCAGAGAATGTCGAGTTAGACAACATATACTTGAAGAAATCGATGTGACATCTGAAAAAATAAAAGGTTATGTACAGGTTATGGCTGAGAAACCATTTCGTCTTCATCTAACATCAGAACAACAAATATTACGTTACATTAGTTATTGTCTAAATAATGTTTACTCACATATATATATCGATGCAACCAGATCGATAGTCAAGAGTTTACCACATCAAAAGCGAGTTCTAATGTATGCAGCCGTTTTTACAGATGGAGACGATCCAACGAATGTAATTCCACTAGGACATGCTATTCTTGCTGATCATACAGAAACGAGCATAAGTTATTTTTTGGGTACTCTTCGACAAGAAATCGTTACCCTCAAAGAGAAAGTTGTTCGACCTTCTTTTTTTGTCATCGACTTCTCTCCAGCAATATTTAATGCTATTTTACAGACATTCAACCATGAAGACATTCGTGGTCATTTAAAACGATGTTGGAATGTCCTTTTACGAAAATATGATGCGAAACAAATCCGTTCTAAGTCATTTTTGCGCTTTTGCTGTTCTCATATGATGAATGCCTTTTCTAGAAGTCTTTCCGCTGCCAGTGTAGCCAAAAACGTAAGAAAAAAGGTCATGCATGTGTTCGGTTTGTTCATTAGTTGCGGTGAATTGGAAATGTCATTTAAGTTTTTAAAACGTGTTTTACATATGTTTGGTGGGTGGGTGTGGGTGTGGGTGTGGGTGTGGGGTGTTGGTGTGGGTGGTGTGGGTGTGGGTGGGTGTGGTGTGGGGTGTGGGGTGTGGGTGTGGGGTGTGGGTGTGGGTGTGGATGTGGATGTGGATGTGGATGTAGCTTTTCTCTTCATCCGCTCCCACACACCCACACCCACACATCCACACCCACACCCACCACCCACA